TGGCCGGGAGTGGCCACTGCACTCCAGTCTGGGCAACAGAGTGAGACTCCAACTCAAAACCAAACCAAACCAAACCAAAACAAAACAAAAACTCCTGAATCTAAATCTTCAAGTCCAGAGAATGCTATCAATTATTCTAGAATTAATATCGATTTTATACAATCTTTTCCAGAAAATAGAAAATAAGAAAGGCCGAGCTAGGTGGCTCAGCCTATCATCCCAGCACTTTGGGAGGCCAAGGTGAGTGGATTGTCTCAGCTTGCAGGTTTGAGACCCGCCTGGGCAGCTTGGCGAGACCTCGTCTCTACAATGAATCAAAAATTAGCTGGGCATGGTAGCGTGTGCCTGTGGTTTCAGTTACTTGGAAGACTGAGGCAGAAGGATCGCCTGAGCTCGGCAGGTTGACGCTGGGGTGGCCGTGTGTGTCCCACTGCGCTCCAGCCTGGGTGATGGAGTGAGACCCCAACTCAAAAAAAAAAAAAAGGAAAGAAAAGAAAAGAAGGGAAGATAGCTTCACTCATTTTATGAGTTTTTATATTAAAACCAAGGACAATGTCAAAAAAAGAAAGAAAACTATACACCAATATCTTTTATAAATTTGGATGAAAAATTTCTCAGCACGATATTAGCAAACTAAACACAACAATGTAAAAAAATAATTTTACATCATGATGAAGTGGGATTTATTTCAAGTATGTGAAGCATTGGACAAAATCCAACAGCAGTCATGACAGTAAAACAGAACAAAAACAAACAAAAAGCAAACTCTCCTGAAAGTTAGGAGGAAGGGGCCATTACTTCAACTTGACAAAAGTCATCTACAGAAAACCTCATACTTCATGGCAAAAGATTAAAAATTTCCCCTTAAAACTGGGAATATGACAAGAATGTCAGTCCTCAACTCTTTCACTGAATGTAGTTCCAGGACATGCAGCCACTGGAAAGAAGCAAGAAAAAAAAAAAAGGCACACAGATAGAAAGGAATAAATAACACTCAGATGGTGTGATTGTCTACATAGGAAATCACCCCAAATTAAGTGAATTCGGCAAGAGCAAACATGGAAATAAATATATTAACAATGACTGTGTGGAAACTTTAAAGCAAAATTTACAGTTGTGACCATGAAGGTCAAATATTTAGGCACACACTTGGGGTGTTAGATAAAGATACAGTTTTCTGTCCCTGGCTCCAGGCTCCCGACCCTGCAGCCCTTGCGATGGTTTTTGGTTATACCGTTGGGTGTGTCAGTCTCAGGAGACAGAACCTCTCCAATCTCCCCCCGCTCCGCCCAAAAGGGAGGACTCTGATCTTGACTCTGTCTTGACTGTAGGCCTTAAGAACTTGCCTACAAGCCGGGCTCGGTGGCTCAGCCTGTCATCCCACGCCTTTGGGAGGCCGAGGTGAGTGGACTGCCTGAGCCCGCGGGTTCGAGACCCGCCCGGGCAACTTGGTGAGACCACATCTCTACAAAAATCAAAAATCAGCCGGGCATGGTAGCGCGCACCTGTAGTTCCAGCTACTCGGAAGGCTGAGGCGGAAGGACTGCCGGAGCCCAGCAGGTCGAGGCTGCGGTGGCCGGGAGCGGCCACTGCACTCCAGTCTGGGCGACAGTGAGACTCCAACTCAAAAGCAAGAATAAAAACAAACCAAAAAACCCTTTTGCTCTGCAAAAGACTATGTGAAGAAACAAAAAACAAGCTGCAGACTGACAAAATGTTTGCCAACTATATATCTGACAAACAGCTCGTACCTATAATACATAAAGATCTTTCGAAACTCCACAGCCAAAAAAAAAGTCCAATTGTAAAATGAAAAAAGAGACACGTCTCACTGAAGAAGACGTATAGATGGCAGATGGGTACACGAAGAGAAGTGTAACATCATCGTCCCTTAGGAAAATGCAAAAAAAGCCACAAGACATCACGACACACAGATCAGATGGCAGAAATAAAAAATAGTGACAGCCCATCTTGCTGGCAAGGATGCAGGGACATGAGGGCATGCCTGTGTTGCTGGTGCAGACAGATGGCGGTCCAGCCACTCTCGAAAGGTTTGCTTCTACAAAACTGTGCATGCAGCGACCATGTGAACGCCTGCATTCTTGAACATTCGTCCCCGGACAGTGACACCATACGTTCACACAAAAACCTGCTCGCAAATGTTGATAGCAGCTGTCTTCAGAATACCTCACACCTGAAGCAGCTCACATGCCCCTCAGTGAGTCGGCGGTCACAGGGACTGTAGTCTTTTGCACGTCCCCGGGAGCGGGACTCGGCAGTGAAGAGATCATCTCCTGACACACAAAACCTGGGCACCTCCCAAGGGAATTCAGATTCAAAAAGCCAGTCTCTGAAGGGGATATCCGCTGCGGTTCCATTTGTGTAACTTTTTTTTTTTCCGCCCAGACTGGAGTGCAGAGGCCGTTCCCGGCCACCGCAGCCTCGACCTGCTGGGCTCCGGCGATGCTTCCACCTCAGCCTTCCAAGTAGCCCGAATTACAGGCACGCGCTACCACCCCGGCTGATTTTTTGATTTATTGTAGAGATGAGGTCTCGCTGCCCAGGCGGGTCTTGAACCCGCGGGCTCAGGCCATCCACTCACCTCAGCCTCCCAAAGGCATGGGATGACAGGCTGAGCCATCGAGCCCGGCTGTGTCACATTTTTGAAATGACAAAGTGATAGAAACAGAGGCCAGGTGTGGTGGCTTACACCTGAACCCCCACACTTTGGGAGGCCGAGGTGGGAGGATCCCTTGAGGCCAAGAGTTGGAGACCAGCCTGGGTAGCAGGGTGAGAAACAGAAGCGGAGCCTGGAGTTGGGAGTGGAGGGGCTGGCCGGGCAGGAAGGAGGTGGGTGTGGCTTTGGAAGGGCAAGAGGGGGCCGTAGTCTTTTGTATGTTGACCGTGGTGTGGTGTAGACACAGGAACTCGCACCTTGGAGAGAACCAAACGCAAGCATGACGGCTGCAAGTGAATTGGCAAATCTGAACGAGACCGTGTCGTGTTAACACACTTGGCTGTGAGGTCCTAGAGTTTTGTACAACGTTACCGCTGGTTGGTGGGCAGTGGGGTCTCTGGGACCCCTCTGCATTTCTTCTTATAATTGCAGCGGATCTACCATCATCCATTTAAAACGTCAACTTAAAAGACAATACCAAGTGTGCATGAAAACGTGGAGGGACCCAAGATGTCACTCCTTGCTGGCGAGAAAGAATGCGGAAGGCACACCATGAGAGACATCTCGTCCGTTCTTACACATTTAAACCATACACCTTGTGCCCCGGCAAGTCCACTCCTCAGTGTTTACTCAGGACACATGAATGCATGGGTGGACACACATACCTAAATATAAATGCTCAAAGCGTCATTCATAATTGCCAGCAACTGGAAGCAACTCGGATGCTATGGACTTGTGAATGGATAAAGAAATTTGCTGGAGCTTCACAGTGGGACACTGGCGACCACGAGGACGAAAAAGCCACGCTACAACACGACGATGCGGGAAGGTCTCATTGGCAACACGCTGAAGAAAATGAGCCAGGCGCGGTAACCTACTCTCTAATTTCACGTGCAAGATATCCAGTCAAAGGCAAAACAATTGAGGGATGAAACCAGTGGTTTCCAGAGGCTGGGGGCAAGGGAAGGAACTTACTTCAGAGGGGCACAAAAAAAT